TGTGGGACTTCGAAGCGATGACGCTGACTATTTACAAAAAAGAGACGGCCATAGTCCATCCTAATAAAATGAAGAGGCCCGTCGTCACGTTTCAACTAGTTTTAAAAGCCTCACTTTCGTCCCACTCATGAGAACTCGACAAGCGAGTGTGGCGAAAATGACATCGTAACAGATATCTTTTCATGTTTGGAAGTACAGTCGCTCGCTTATTCACGAGAATATTAGTACAGTCCTTGTTCTTCGTGGATGCTGGGGTGTGCCATGAGGGCTAGGTCTGGCGTGGCGCCTACCCGTTCTTCACCAGTCATGGAATAGGGCAAGAGACCATAGTTGTTGGGAGATAGACTGACGACTCCGCAAGCGCAGCCGCTTGATACGCCCCAACGAGCAAGACTGTAGCCTCTAAATATCAGCTATTCATATCCCCAAAAGTAATGTATTCTCACAGGATAAGAAAAAAAATTCGATGATTGAGCAGACTGGAGCTCTCGTGATTCGAGAAAGAGAACTCGGAATTTTGTCTAAAGTACCGCAGGAAATTTTGTCCAGCCTGATAGAAGCCTTGTCTTTGGGTGCAGGTTTTCCATTCCGTCACTTTGTATGATTCTGTCCCTGAGCAGAATGCCTAGGAATGGGAAAGGGAACATGACCGATCACAAAACTGGAAACCAAGTTACGTTATCGAACCAAAGGTGATACCCATGCTAGACAAAGGATGAGGTATGTACACAGCGCAGTGTACATCACACTCCTCAATCATTACGGGACTTGTCGGGCGGGTCAGTCGCGCTGCGTGTTTTTCCGCGTGTGCAAAGTCTATTCCGCACGTCACGTGTGTTGAAGTGAGTCAAATGAGACCATTGACAGCATTATATATCCTTCCGTATTACCTCGTTTTCTACCACTTTTTGTCGCCTACGCGCGTTTCAACGAAAAGGCTGAGAACGGCTTCAAACAGTGTGCGCACTCCTACTGGCTGATACGCACCGACAGTCCGTAATGAAAAGGAGAGTACACCCGCGGCGTGGGTAAAATTTCTGTAGGATATGACCACCTCTACCCTTCACCCCCATCCTCCTCCCACTCGCTTTACTGGAGTCCTCCCCAAAAAACTGGTGGGGGGATGGGGTTATTCCTGTGCAACTTGGACGCCTATGAGAAAAAACCAGGAGAAAAGTAGAACAAAAACGAATGTCGTTTTTCTGCAAGCAAGTATCGACCCTGTCGGGTATACCCCACAGTGCGGGCGTTGCCGTGGGGACAAGATTTTCCTGTGTTGGTCAGGACATTAACTCATAAGAAGCAGCCACTTTCGCCTGATAAACTGCGCTCGAACAAAATCCGATTACGTATTCCCTTTGTTAGTTTATTCAACGAACCAACTACACTTGTCGCAGTGCGTTTGGCAAAACAATATCAAGTCCTCACAAATCTTCCTCTTGTGATTGTATTTGTCCTCTTTCTAATCTCCGCACCTCGTTGAACGACATTGTACTATCTGTAAGTGTATTTAAAGGCTTCAGTACAACCCAGAATTCAGGTAACAGCTTTTAAAATATTAGTGCCACGCACGAATTGAGTAAAACGTCTTGTGCTTAGCATACAGATCGCAATAGTACGTTGGCCCGATTGTTGTCATAATTTTTTTTCACTTCTTAGACTTCACTTAACCAGGCCTCTTGTTGCTGAGCCGTTCCCAGCTTCTGAAGAGCGTAAGAATACTTCACACCTTTCTTTAACAAAACACAGAGCAGCTGTAACGCCTTAACTTAGAAATCCTACACCTATGGTGGTCATCCGCATGGATTCACGTCACCTTCACTTCTCTTATCTGAATTTACTGACGGCCAACGCCTGTGACCTTCGGTCAGTCAGTGTAGAAGATCACCATGTTTCTTTCTTGAGCATTCTCTGTTCTAACAGTCGTATTAAGGTCGAGGAAGGGTAGCACTGTCGCTGTGGTGGGGCACCCAAACAAACATTTTGACCATTTCCAAATCTTCACCCGAAGCTGAATCAACATCAGAGCAAAAACGTCACTATCGCGGGTCCATTTTCTGAAACCCGACATGCGATCCTTGCCTTTATCCACCTGCTCTTCGTGTGCAGGAAAAAAATTGAGCCCCTCTCGACCATAAATATCACTCATTCCTGCTTTATAGAAGTTTCGCATAAATTCTGCCACAGTCTGTGTCGAGAACGTCGTTCCTAGCAATTGCTGGTAACTAGTAACTTCAGCAACGAATTTTTTTTCGGTATAACCTTGATTCTTTAAATGCAACTTGAGCTTAATTTAGGCCGGATAGTGGGCTTTTATGTCAGGCGCGAGATAATTGCACAAGAGTGTTCTAGTGTGGTGGTGTTGATGAGTGTCAAGTCAGCTAGGTAAGAAATACTCCTCTAGATTGCGAGCGATGCGGCAGAAGTACAGCCTTACTTGTTGTGGATGATGGATAAGTCACTGGAGCTGGGTTTGGCGCTTGGCGCTTCGCACCAATTATTGCGGCTTACTTGCTTCAACAATTGGTGGAGAAAGGGCTGGCACTGCACCACACCTCCCCGCTTACACACTCCGGCCTCCGCCACCTGTATGTGAATCAGACAGCGCGTAACGCTAGAATTGCTACTTATTTCTTGTTGTGACACTCTTTTGCCACTATTGTCAATGATGTACAACATTTATATACTGTATGGGTCACCACCACCGCTCTGCATTCCTAGAGCTCAATCTTGTTTCCGCACTCATACTCTATCTCATAGTATTTCTCCCCCGTGTCTCTGACCACCATCCATTTCTGTTCTGCAAGTTGGATCTGTTTGTCACGTTCTGAAGAAAATATCTATGATGTTTAGAACATGGTGAACGCGGAGCTTCTAAAGAAACACACCAGCGCATATAAGCTGACACGTGATACTGCTGCCGAATATCATAAACAGTACGTCCACAAATACCTACTGTGCATACCACTGAGAAGCGACGGGGCGTGTCAAAAGGAGTGGGCCCACGCACGGAAGTCTGCACGCAGGCGCGTTTTCTGCCAGTAACTGCCTGCCTGGACCGAGCAAGGACCAAAAACGCAGGCCCACGTAGGCTCGTTCCACGCCTCGGTACACACCCAATCGCTTCTCCGTATGAAGCACTGTTTTTTTTCGGTCAATGTTTGTTGAGGCCATAGGGAGAGGGCACCAGAGAGAGTAATGGTGGCTTCGGCCTGAATCTAAGAGGAAGAAACAAGCGGTCTGTAACCAGTTCGTTTGGACGAAAGGGGCCCGTAAATTCTTCTTTGGCCGAACCACCTGTACTTTTTTCCAACAAATATTCGGGCAAGGAAATGAGACTTGTAGAGTCAGAAGGGGAAGCTTCTTCCTCTGTCAAGTACACATTCGATCAGGGTATGTCGATATGATTTCAGGCTCTTCACACTTCACCCCGACCTGGCGAAGTACTATGACGCTGAGGACATTGATCCCGATAGAATCCCTAAGGTAAGAGGAGTAAACCATACAAATCATTGTACAGTTTGATAACCTATGCGGTTAAGTGGTAAATGCTATCAACAAGCAGCAGTAAGGGTAAGGGTCTTTCGGGAAAAGCTGGAAGAATGAATCGCTTAATTCTGCCGATTCTCCGTGAATCCCCTATTCAAAGAGACTTTCCACGACAGCTGGTTGGTAGAACACCTTGTTCATGTGAAGTTGTCCGGTCAGCAATCTCAGAGAAACGTCCACAAACTCATATTCGTACCTATAGCACCCACAATACACTCGAAATCTCCTGAGATGAGGTAGGCGTGGCTGCGTACTTCAACTAAACGTCGTGGTGGCTATGCTTTTGGAGAGATATTTTCATTTTGACCCAAATGTGGTCACGTCTCTGTCCAACAGAACAAGATGGCGGCTGTCTCAAATTGAAATATCCCACGAGTAACCAGCTATGTACCATAATGCCACGCCTACCCCGTCTCAGGGATAAGGAGTATATGCAGTGCAGACAATGTCTTACAATTCCAAAGCTACTATACAAGAAGTGGGTGCTGCTGAAGAGTTGCTCCAAACATCCACGGAGGGTGTAACCTGAGCAACACATTTAGAGGAGCAAAATTGCACCACAGTTGGCCACTTCTTTGTTTATATGAACGTGTGCATCAAGGCGTTGTCAAAAGCATGAAATGAGCCCATTAGAAAGCTTCCTTCACCACTGGTTCATCTTCTTATAAATGAACGCTAACCGACCGCTGTTGTAAAGAGCGAGCTGGAGGTGGGTTCCTCTCCCTTATAACACCCGCCCGAGCTGATTGCGACGACCATATCTTTCCAGGTGAAAGTCAAGCGAAGCAGCCATGAAACAGCGCCGTCGAGGATCCAGTATCGTGGAAAGTTTCCCTCTGCCTATTATGAACCAAAACGACATCTTTCAGGCGCAAAAGTTCATCATGCTTGGTCAACAAGAGCTCCAGTTTTTCTTCCGGTAGGTTTCTCACCACACAGTACTAGTTGCCCCACAAAAAACCAGCTAATTGCGAGCTCTTTTCAGGCTTCCTGCGTCATAAATGATGAGCGTGACTGGCGCAGCGCTTTAGGCCAAATCAAGGAAGCATATAGCGATTTCAATTTCCCTATTTCGGAATTTAACGTAAGTCGGTCTCTTACATTGAAAAGTGAATTCGATGGCATCATTGAATTGTAGAAAGTCCCTGCTGCCTTTCTTGCCGCTATGGAGAAGCATGCTGGCGGTGTGCACTGAACAAAGAAGGAATGGAGCACTCTTTCGACAAAGCATACACCGACATGAAGTCATGGGGATGGTTTTTGATCGACATCAGCTGGTATTATGGCGAAAGTATCGAAGATTGCTCACTACAGTTGTAAATATTTTAGTTACCATTGCTCCGAATAAGCCCCCATTTCATCTTTTATCAGTGCCTGTTTTTTGGTCTTTGAGATGTTTACTTTTCAGATAAATGTTTTCCGATTCTCATGATTTTGATGTATAAACGATCGAAGAGAGGACTTATTTTCTTACCTCATGACATGGCGAGTGAATGGATACCGCTGGGCTTGATCAGAAAAATGCGCTTTTTTCCAAGCTACTTTTGCTGTTCTGATTACACAAGTTATGAATGATGGAAAAGGGAAAGCAATCATCCACTTCTTTCCTCTGCAGCGGCAGCATTCACTAGGCTAACAAGCTCTAATCCAGGTCTGTATGAATGCCTTATAGACAATTTTTCCCAAGCACATTGGGAAAGCTCTGCGAAAATCGATAGCCATCTCTACTTTGTGAGACTGGCGAGTTTTTTTAGTCGCACTTGAGTCTATGAGGCATCATACAGACCTAGATTAGACCCTGTTAGCCTAGTGAATCTGCCATGGTACTCACTCTTTCGCGTCGCTTTTGCATACTGCAAAGCAGAAATTGATATATGAATTTTTTTAGCAGCGCAAGCCCAGGCACTCCCTAAAAGGCTAAGGCACATAATTTGGCACCAAGATCTAAAATGGTGGCACGGGTGCTAATATAGTGGGAAAAATGCCGGAAAGTGAAGTAAACGGTCAAAAATGCAAAAAAGCTTTTGTTCCACCCGACACAGATAGCAATGTCGGACGAGTTTCCCGTGCATCATGCCAATGTGCTGCTAGGAGATACGTGTGCATTTAGACTACCATGTCTATGCAGCACCCGCAGGACCGGTTTTTTCATATCATCCCTCTGTACTTTCAGAAGCAATACGAGCATCAGCATCGGTCGGACATCTGTGGCCGGCAGACGCGGTGGGCGTCCGGGTCGGTACGTTTCGGTAACGGCAGACTACAGGAGTATTTCTGGGTTAGCGTCTTGCACCGCTTGCAGTCAGTGAATGTGTGGCGGTATAGAGTGTAAATTGCGTTGTGGCCAAAGGGGCGGTTGTATCATCGGGGTGAGGGTTAGCCATGTAAATAATATGCCTATATTGTGGCGCAACTATACAGTGCGGTGGCAACGATTAGCGAACAATGTACTAATCACAGCGAGGGGGACAGGGGAGGAGTCATTATTGCGGTGCGAAAACACTTCGTCTGTGTTGACTTTTTCTGTTGTTTGCCGTTTCGCGTAATATGCCCCTCCCCCTCTCGATAGAACTATTTTGAAAGAAAGAGAAACTTTCAGAGAATGGTGGGAAGTTGGAACTATTCATGACGGTACTAGGATGGTGCGGCAGTCGCACGAGAAGAAGTGTTCGAGGAGGGTCGATGTTTCGGCAAATTTTTCTTCCTACGGCAGGGACAAACATTGGCACTGCAACCAAGTCGGTTTTGGTGTAGATGCCCAGCGCGTGATCCCCTTGAGCCCTTTCGCAACGCCTTTTTCTCCACGACGTGGAACTTACGAAACAAATCCGTGGGCGGCAGGGTCCATATACTTGAATTTGCACCAGGTAAGACCCTGTCACTGAAATCTCGGACAAGATCAGACGCACACCAGTATACAGACGAGCGAGTGCGGAACTGTGTATATCTTGGAAGCGGAGAAGTCCTCAGGACCGAATCTCAGATTTTATGACTTTGTAGATGTCTCTGTCACTGTGCGAGATCAGCCGGCCCCAAACTACTAACAATGATGACGCTTGCGTGTAAGTGTATGTACTCTCTGATGCACAGTAGAATTACTAGTATCAGGAAGTCTCATAGGTCTTTCCAATCCATAGGTCCAAGCTAAGACCTCTTCGTCAAACAGCTGGCAGGAATGTGATGATTCAGAGCGTCTCACTTAGCAGTAATGTATTTTTTTCTCCAAGCATAAACTCACCTGAGGCTGCAGCTGGATCCATTACTACAACTTTCCCAGATGCACACGGAAACCCTCCACTGAACGAGGAAGCGTGGAGGAGAGGAGCATGACTTTTCACTACTATCGTCCCTTCTTATGCAAATCAAACCATCCAGTGAAGCTAAAGTGTTGTTGAAAAAAAGCGTATTTAGGTAGTAGAGTCATCTCGACCCTCTAGAGTTGACAACCTCTCGAGTTCAGCGAACGGCCACCCATCAAATGATACAGGTTTTTGGTGTACGTTTACCTTCTCGATTCCGAGGCTAATGTCGAGTACCTACGAGGATTCCTTACAAATTGCTCAGTAAATAAAATCCGTGGCAGAATAACACACGGTGGAATATTGCACTTGTAGGAATTCTCTGCCCTTCTTCTTGCGTAACATTTGAGCGCAACAGCACAGCGATATGCAGCCAGGGTACAGCACCGATGTCTGAAACCCATCGAGGGGCTTGTACCTGGCTGCCAAGGAAGGGGAGGGGTCGTAAACGCAGGGCCAGCGTGCACCGAACAGAGCAAAAGGGTTATCGCTAAGTGATATGGAGCGGAACCAGTGCTGTAGAGGTCCCGTATGTGTGGAAGACTACAAAAATATCAAAGTAATCAAATAACAATATTAGTAGTTAGTCTAAATTCGTAAGAACGTAGATAGCTAAATGCATTACGAACAGGTTCAATCTCATCGACCTTTCGCCCTGTGATAACAACTGCTTGCATGGACATTCCTTACTATTAGAATTTCTACGTTTTCCACCCCCTCTGCGTAGGAGCACAATGTACG